CCATGCCGTTTGAAGAACGATACGTATTCGAGCGATATTGCACGCCACACGGACACAACTCCTACCTAATGCAAGTTTCTTACTATTGCATTTAAAACATTTCATGTATGTTTAATGGAGTTACCGTTGTTTTTTTACCTACTCATAGAGTATAAAGATGTTTGGTCTTATTTGTATCCTCCTGCCAATTTTATTGTTTTCTTTTACACATTTTCTTTTTTAATGTTATATTGCGTAGTCGGTTAGTTATTCTCTACTTTAATCGTTAAGTGATTACAAAATCAACAGATAAATATATTGCTGTCAAATATATAATATGTTGCAAATATATTGCATTGCTGTCTAATTACCTATACCATCGTAATAGCTGAAGTGAACTAGGATTTTAGTTTACTGCGAATATCTATTGATTTTTCGTTCACCGATTGTCGTCTTAAGGATTTAACAAAGATAACAATGTACGTTAAAATGACAATTGTTTGGTTAATTATGGAAAGCACTATTATTATTTTAAAAAAAAAACCCTCATTAGTAATGTAACACACTCGATTCCTAACAAGAACACGAAATTGCGAAAAAAGAATCAAATAAACAAAAGGCCACAAGAACAAAATCTATTTGTTTATACAGAACTAAAGCAAGTTTGAGCAAGAGGTATGTAATACCCTAAATAAGAGATCGCGTTAATTCCCGTTAAAATAATATTAATTAAAGCAAGTTTGTTATTAATACTTGACACACTAATAATGTATAACCTTAATCACGAGTTCAGGCCAAACCTTCTAAATAAATGAGATAAAGTATCAATTAATCCAAAACTGCATTAAGTATCACGTTAGCTGCAATTCATAATTCAAATTTGAATGTAAGAACAACATTCAGTGAAGCAAAGTTAAATTAAAGTCGTATGCGGATTTAGCTGCGGTCCGCCCCAGCTTAAGGCAAGCTATGCCACCTGCGCTCCGGACCTAGCACTGAAAACACAATTTGTGGCGCGCCTTTTGTACTCCTGTTTACTTTTGTGCATCCTATTTTTATGTCTAAGTGTCTACCAGTCTATATATCGTGCAGTTCTTTGTTTATGCAATTCTACATGGTGTCGAACTAAGAAAAAGTGAGACATTTGATTTTTCTTGATTTATTAAATAGCACAACCACGTCAAACATATGAAGATATTTACAAATTATGTTACACCTATCCGACCTATCCGACTTGTAAAAATATCTGAAAAGATTTACTTGCCGAAATAAATATCATTTATAGTCTCTGATATTTATATAACACCTACGATGTACAATGGCTATCTAAAGCGGAGTGCCAATGAAAACAAAATTATTAAGGTAAACATGTTTTGTCTATAACTAACACAAGAAAATAAATCAAACAAGTTTGTTATTTAGCAAATAAAGCTAATATTAGTCATTCAAATTATTATAAAATTATTTTCGATTTATAAAATGAATCATCACGTATTGGATGTCAAAACAACTTGGTTACGTGTGTTTAAATAATATTAGCTACACTGATTTAAAACTCTACTAACAATCAGGCGATTGCATAGAACGGTACATGATACGTTCTTGTAAGTCCTTGTGTAAGATAAGTATGAGGAATGGGAACAGATATTAACTGTACTGAATATATTTGCTTATCAATTTACGGAAAAGCAGAAGTTCACACATGCGTCTACTATTACAAAGATTGGTCAATGGTTATTTTAAATGTAGACAGACGCCGTCATATGTTCCAAATACTAAAGTTTGCTACACAATAATGAAACACTTCTGGTAACGGCTCCGTGAATGCCTTGAATCCGTTGCGAGTGGAAAACATAATACGGTCACCATGCGGTACCATCAAATCTGGGACGGTATTTGATAAGAATACCTCGGTGTTAATATTGCTAAGATCAATAATGGTATTTTCTCAAAAACCGTTTGGGCTGCTTTTTGCACATAACTGTCTGACAAGGTGTGAGATAAAAGTTAGTTTTAACGACAATAACGCCTTAAAAATGAATACCGATAACTTTACTTTCGTTAAAAAGTTAAGAGAACAATGAATAAGTGTTTCCTAGAAATATATTTATTAAAGTTATTCGCGAGAGATGAATGTTTTCTAATCATATAGCAACGTTGAACAATGCAGCTATTATTAATTACATTCTACCGTGGGAGAGCCATGCTTCGCCACGAATGGGCCGGCTCGACCGGAGTGATACCACGGCCTCACAGATAACCGGTGTTAAGCATTCCGGAGTGAAGTTACCGGAGCCCAAATCCCTCCTCCCGCTAACGCGAGCGGGAGGGACTCCAAGGGCAGCAACGCACTTGTGACTTTTGTGTTGCAGGTGTCCATGGGCGGCGCTAGTTGCTTACCATCAGGTGAGCCGTCTGCTCGTTTGCCCCCTTATACCGTAAAATTTTTTACAAAATCCAGAAAAGAGAAGAGAACAGACTTTCCAGAAGAGAAAAAAATCCTGAACAGCTTTATGCAAGAAACGTGCAAATAAAAAAACGTAGCAATGGTGATAAAGTAAACAAGGTCACAGAGCACGTCACAAGGACGATCCTATACGTAATCAGCTTAGTGATAAATTGGCAAACAGCACGCGAACGACACAGCTGCTTCCGGCAGCGGTCCGGCGCCTGACGTGCTTGCCTCACGACAATTCAACTTTCGAGCTAATACTCTAATGAAAACAAAGAACTAACCGGTGTAAATATCCACGACAACCAGTTTATCTAAATACTAGCTGACCCGCGCAACTTCGTCTGCGTCTCTCAATAGTAATAAATTTTCTCCGTTTTAGAAACATTCTTCATTGGTGCTCCGCTCCTATTGGTCTTAGCGTGATGATATATAGCCTATAGCCTTCCTCGATAAATAGGCTATCTAACACTGAAAGAATTTTTCAAATCGGACCAGTAGTTCCTGAGATTAGCGCGTTCAAACAAACAAACAAACAAACAAACTCTTCAGCTTTATAATATTAGTATAGATTACGTCATACATCTAATTCACACACTAGTAACTACTAAGTACACATTTGAAAATAGGCATTTTCGTATGCTACCTACATTCTTAACTAAAGGATATTTTATTCCGTTTTTAACCTACAGTTACAAATTTAATATCTTTGCCGTATCTTATCGAAAAATATGAATAAGTATAGATTTCAACCCATTTCAATCAACTATAGTACAGTACTACATAGTTTTTGATACCGACAATAAAATAATCTATTTAAAATTATAAAACTATAGAATAAATGTACCTTTTCTCGTTAATATTTTTTTTGGCAATGAGTAAAAACCGGAGTTATTAATATTTATTTTAATCGTGGGTTGAAAATGTGGGTTGAATACGGAAACACCCTTTAAAATGTGCTGAGGGAATTTACAACAGCGTTACAAGCGTACTGTTAGTGAAGTAATCCCAAGTTTGCTTTAAAGTTTGAGTTTCAATTTGAAACAAGATTATTATATAATAATATTAAGTGTATACATTTCCAGAAACATTTACAAAACTGAAATAACGAACATGAATTTTATTTTTTAACCTGTATATTCCGCTTTAATTTTACGGGTGAATATATTATTTGATGCTGCACCGCAAAATGGTGGTGGTTAGAGCTACGATAAAAACACTAATTACGAACCTGAAGTTTGTTTTTGTTGACCTGGAACTTATTTTCTCCTTTGCTTATGTTATTATAATGACGAAAACATTTAAAAGTAGTTTTACTTTTAAAGTATCGTCAAGCGTTCGTATCCTTAATTGCGATTTTTTAAACTAAACCACCCGTCTTTTGATTAAGCTTAAATTGTGATAGTTAAGAATATACTCGTTTTATTCGACCGGCCTCACAGAAAACCAATTTTAAGCTATTATATCGTTCCTTTTTATTTGTTTAAAATTTTAGGCACTTATGTACATCGGCCGACTTAATGTCGGACTCGAACCGACTAAAACCGCACGCCTTCGCCGGGTACTAATAGCCGGGGAACCAGGTATACCCTAGAAAGGAAGGCCCTGGTGCCCCGACATACCTCGGGTCATCTACAGACGAGTAGACGACCCCCGCCCCGTGTGGGAACCCCATGTTCCCTGTGCTCCCTGGAAGCGAGCGCGCTTCGCAACGCGCTCGCCGCCACCCCGGCCTGCTTCTGCTAGGGTGACAGATGGCCTCACCTGTCACCCCCAGGCCTGCGCTTATGGAGGACGGAGGTCGTTCTGCGACCTCCGGCGCCTGAGTCGCCTGCGCTGCCTGGCCCGTGCCCGGGCCTGGCGGGCCGGGAGAGTTCTAAACCTCTCCCGGTCCCGCTCCGCCGTCTCCTTCGCGAGCATAACTTGCTCGCAGAAGGAGACGGCAGAGTTCCACGCACTCTCGCTCCGCACGATAGCCGCAATCAGGCTATCGAGCGAGAGAACTCCCACTCCGATGGCCGCCACGAGGTCTCGCCTCTGCTCAACCCACGCCGGGCACTCTGCCAGCGTGTGGAGAGCCGTGTCCACGGTCTGGCCATCGCAGTGGTGGCACTCAGGCGTTGGCTCCTTGCGGATCAGACACAGGTGATCTCCGAAACATCCCTTCCCAGTGATCACCTGCGTCAATCGGTATGAGAGGGTCCCGTGACGCCTCTCGAGCCAATCCTCCATAACGGGTCTTACCGCCGCAATGACGGCGTGACCACGACTTAATGCCCTGGGCATTCTCTACTAGCCAGCCTTTGGGTAGTATAGAAATCTTTTTACTGATTGAGTGGAATTGAAGGGAAGCGGAGGCCCAATCTCACGCTTAACATGGAAGCCCCCCTCCCCCCACCCTTCCAGGTATATTCAACGGGTGACTTATCTCTCTTTAGTTGCAGGTGTCCTTGGATGACGATAGAATAGAAGAAGGTGAAGAAGAAGAATAGGTGACCCCTTAGAATAAGGTGACCCGTCCGCTTGTTTTCCATTTATACTATGAAAATATACTATATTATATATATACCTGTATACGAGACCAGTATCTGCAGTAATGCCGAAACTACAGCCACTCCAAGGAAGCTGTGCATTGTCTATGACACGCTTTCTTTCGGACCCGGCATTGGATATTTTTTAGATTTTAACGTTGGTGTATTCTTCCTTTTTTATTTTTTTCATGGTAAACAGCCAACTTTTTTAGTTCCTCAACAATAATACTTGAAGTGATGTGTCAGCCTCATTTTTAGACCTGCGAACAAAATGAATAGAGTTTTATGATGCATTATTTTATTTATTAGACCTAATATAAATTAACTGTACAAGTCATGGCAATTGATTATTAAAATAGTTGGTTGGATCAACTACGTCGACAAAGTTGGCTTGAATTATCTCACACGTGGCCGTCTGATCCCAAACTAGGCAGAGTCTATGGTAACCAGACTGCTGATGGACAGAATTCTATTATTTTATCTCGAAATACATATATATTTAAAAAAAAACACCCACACAATACAATAGATATAGAACAAAAAAAAAACGTTTAATTAACACAATTATTGGTCCTGGTGGGAATCGAACCCACGAGTTCTAGCCTAGCAGCCAGTGTCACTAAGCACTATTAAAGCGTCGTACACAAATGTGTGGTGACGGATTAAGAATACAGAATGTCACCACCCCTATTCATCCCGTGGGTGTCGTAAGAGGCGACTAAAAGAGCAAACAGCACTGCAGAGAGAAGGAAAACTTGACACAAAACCGACTGGCCAGCGTGGTATAGTAGGCTAAAACCTCTTTTCTAAGGAGAGGCCTATGTCCAGCAGTGGACTAAAGGTTGTTAATGATGATGGATGATGATGACACAAATGTATGTTATAGCAGCTTGCAAGATGAGTAGTGTGCGTGCATCGCGCTTCTGGAGAAAACTGATTTTTATTTCAAATTGAACTCGTTTTCATCGTAACGTGATCTAAAATACGACTCCTAGGTCAACTAACCTAGAAGTCGTATTTATAGATCATATCAGATCGTATTTACAATAAAAATCAAATCAAATAATCAGTATATTACTATGAAAATCATTAAACTTGCAAACTTAAGCTAGTAATCGTTTTTAATTCAAAGTCTTATTCCAATTTAAATTACGTACAAAATTAATATTGAATTACGTTTTGTTACACCGTGAACCAGTGATAAAGTTCATTCGAATGTTATCGATGCCTTTATCTACACATTTCATTATGTCTGTTGGAACTATGATTGGGTATTCATGGTTATTGATTTATAATTGGTTTGATGTATGTGATCAAATAAAATGTTCCAATACTAGCGTTGCTAATGGACCACATTTCCTCAAAAAGCTCTTGTATTATTTATTAGAATTTAGAACATAAAGAAATTAGGCAGTATATATTTTACAGTTATAGTTAGTACAGTTTATTTGCATGCACCTGTGACATGTTGACAAAAGATATGTTGAATAGTGTACATCTGTTTTCGAAACAGCCAACAGTTGATATTTATATTATAATTATTGCTAACTTACACTAAAACTTGATTTCACATGAAACTTAAGATAGATTAATACGCATATAGAAAAAAAAAGGTTGGCTCCTTTTATTTATTTTTTATAATTCGAATTGAATGACATACCACATACATACACATCTTTATTTTGCTGGCATAATAATCAATCGGTGCATTGCAAGATTTTGGAATTTCCAAATGTGAGCTATATCACTCTAATGATTCTTTATTTATTCTTAACTCTTTTAGTCTTAATATAATAATATACATTTAGGTAGAACTTAGAATAATGTACTATTTTAAAACTGTTTTTTCTATTCTATTCTAAATTCATTATTATAATCTGTAGAAAAAACTTCTCAAAGCAGAATTTTATGCTAAAAACAATTAAAATATTTATTTGAACTTAAATACACAGTTAAGTTAATGCTGAGATTTAACACGAATTACATTTTTTGATATGTCTTTTGTCTAATCATAGAAAACTAGTTTAAATAAAAAGATATTTAATATTTAAAGGAATAGTAACTAAGCTTTAGCAGAGTCGAATCGACATATTATAATAGTTTTGAAGGACATATTTCTTTCCGTCGAGTTCTAATTAGCTCATTAGCATTAGTAACCTTAAAATAATTATGTTTTATTACTATATACTTGTTTTGCTCTAAACTTTCTCAAATACTTATCAAAGTTCCGATGTTCTGCGATAAAAAACAAGACCTGATGGTAAAATTCTGCAAAGCCATCGGTCGTGTTCCGGTGGTGGCTGATGATGGAGATTTGATATGTCCAGTCAATGTTGTAACATTTGAATGTTGGCAGTTCAGTTTGTTCGCCTCATCGTATAAATAAGCGTAAAGTTGTGTAGGGACACGCAACCTGGTCGTTAACCCTGCTCCATGGTATACTAATGGAGAGGTGAGGGTGTCATTGAGACCGCAATACTGCCACCTTACCCCAGTACGAATGACAGTTGGAAAGGCTATAATTAAGAGTTGTAAGACTTGTTCCACATCCATTATAAATCGAAATCAGTCATCTAGTTTACCAGCTTAGTAGCTATATTCTGCGTAAAAGATGATTTATCATTTTCTTTCCTGTATATTTGAAATGCAAAATTTTTAAGATAATCGGTGAAGAGTCACAAACTAATATATTATAGGGCTAAGATACCTTGTAGAGTTAGTTAGTAGTTATTACAGACCAAAACCTTGTTGCTGTCAAAGTTTTAGATGTGGCTTTTAAAATTTGTAGGAGGTCGTGTCAAATCACATCTACAATACTTTCTTTCTGTCTTATAGAAAGACTGGTATATTTTGTGTTTTAATTATCTTATTTGTGACTCAACTCTTTTTTGGACTGGTCTTGTTAACTAATACGGCCTCACACACAACTGGTGATAAACTCCGTCGGAAGCAGTCTCTTGTATGAAGAAAAACTTCAGAAATGAGATTTAAAAGTATGGCTTGTACCCTTATTTAACCGCTTGTGGAGGACGGAGGTCTCAGAAAGACCTCCGTCCTCTATAAGCGGGTCCTCCTTTCTAAGGTATACCTGGTTCATTCAACACATGGTACATTTGTAATTTGGTGGTAAGGTCTACCTAAATGTACATTATTATATTGCCAAGTAAATAGTAATAAAACATAATTCTTCTAAGGTTACTAATGCTATTGAGCTAATTAGAACTCGACGGAAAGAAATATGTCCTTCAAAACTATTATATATCGATTCGACTCTGCTAAAGCTTAGTTACTATTCCTTTAAATATTAAATATCTTTTTATTTAAACTAGTTTTCTACGATTAGACAAAAGGCATATCAAAAAATTTAATTCGTGTTAAATTTCAGCATTTACTTAACGGTGTATTTAAAGTTCAAATGAATATTTCAATTGTTTTTCGCATAAAATTCTGCTCTTAAAAGTTTTTTGTATAGATTTTATTAATGAATTTGGAATAGAACAAAACAATCACAGTTTTAAAACAGTAAATTATTTTAGGTTCTACCGAAATGTACTTTATTATATTAAGACTAAAAGAGGTAAAAATAAAAAAAGAATTAGAGTGAAATAGCCCACATTTGGAAATGCCAAAATCTGGCAATCGACCGATTGATTATTATGCGAGTAAAATAAAGATATATGCATGTGGTTTGTCATTAAATTTGAATTATAAAAAAAAAAGGAGCCAACCTTTTTTTTCTATTAGCGTATTAATCTATCTTAAGTTTCATGTGAAATCAAGTTTTAGTGTAAGTTAACAATAATTATAATCTAAATATCAACTGTTGGCTGTTTCGAAAACAGATGTACCTACATTATTTACCATATCTTTTATCAACATGTTACGGGTGCATAAATAAACTGTATTAACTATAACTGTAAAATATATACTGCCTAATTTCTTTATGTTCTAAATTCTAATAAATACAAGAGCTTTTTGAGGAAATGTGGTCCAGTAGCAATGCTAGTATTGGAACATTATATTCAATCACATACATCAAACCAATTATAAACCATGAATGCATGAATCATAGCTTCAACAGACTTAATGAAATCTGTAGATAAAGGCATGATAACATTCGAATGAACTTTACCTCTGGTTTACGGTGTAACAAAACGTAATTCAATGTTAATTTTGTACGTAATTTAAATTGTTACAAGACTTTGAATTAAAAACGATAACTAGCTTAAGTTTGCAAGTTTAAAAGGAGAAGATTATGTAAAAGTATATAATCGGAATGTTTTTGTAAGAGATAGAACAGTAATGTGAAAGGTCAAGTAGTCAGCACTCGGGAACATGCTTACAAAATACAATTAGAAAATGGCGAAATTGGAACCATAAATAGATTTAATCTATATAGAGACTCTCCAAATAACAAATTTGAGGTGATCCATCACCATGATGGTTCTAAGATTGCTCCTTACCACAGGCTGCTCAGTAGCCTCTCTAAAAGTGCAGTACTTAAGATTTAGTTAACATTGTAAAGATTGTCATCAATTGTACTGAATACATGTATACCCAAATTTTTTCGTTCAATAAATTATTATTGTGAATAAGATTGTTCCTTGCCTCATAGAATACTCTGTTTCTAGCATTGGCAATAATGATATATCTCTATTTAATTAAGTTCCTAAACTGCTAGTACAAAAAGGAGAGTTACTTCTAATGCACTGAAAGATATGTTATGTATGTTAGCTACAGTACTATTACTATAGCTAATACTCAGCTACCTATATGAGGTAAGATTGTTGAAGAGAATATACTTTATAGACTTTGTTTTTTTTTTACAATCAGGCCTCTAATTTTCGCTAGAAATTTCTAGAATGTAAACATATTAGAAAAATTACTGTCGAAATTTTATTGAATAATTTTAATTTAAACCACTCTATTCTATCAAGATGCTAGTATATTTTCAATAAGGTGTTGTAACTTAGTTACTTAGAAGGCCAAGGCTTTTATTAGCACTTATCTCTGCCTAACCCCACGTCTGACAGGTAGAAAATGCAATATAGCAATATAATTTTACCTAAAGTTTAAAAACTCTGGAATTGAGATGCGTGTCT